AAAAAAAAAAAAAAAAAAAAATTAGCCAGGAAAAAAAAAAAAAAGCTTGTAGTAAAAAAAAAAAAAAAGGCCGAGGAAAAAAAAAAAAAAAAACCGGGGAAAAAAAAAAAAAAGTGAGCTGAAAAAAAAAAAAAAAACTCCAGCCAAAAAAAAAAAAAAAGACCCTATAAAAAAAAAAAAAACATTAAAAAAAAAAAAAAAAAAAGCACAGTGAAAAAAAAAAAAAAACCCAGCACTAAAAAAAAAAAAAATGGGCAGATAAAAAAAAAAAAAAATTGAGACCAAAAAAAAAAAAAAAGTGAAACTAAAAAAAAAAAAAAAATACAAAAAAAAAAAAAAAAAAGTGGTGCGCAAAAAAAAAAAAAAACTCAGAAGAAAAAAAAAAAAAAATCCCTTGAAAAAAAAAAAAAAAGGTTGCAGCAAAAAAAAAAAAAACCACTGCACAAAAAAAAAAAAAAAGAGTGAGAAAAAAAAAAAAAAAAAAAAAAAAAAAAAAAAAAAAAAGAAAAACTAAAAAAAAAAAAAAACCAACAGACAAAAAAAAAAAAAAGGTCTGATTAAAAAAAAAAAAAACCCTGGTAAAAAAAAAAAAAAAATTCCCTTATAAAAAAAAAAAAAACTCTGGGCTAAAAAAAAAAAAAAACATCTATAAAAAAAAAAAAAAAGGAGGCCAAAAAAAAAAAAAAAACTGAGCTCAAAAAAAAAAAAAAAGCCTGGGCAAAAAAAAAAAAAAACATCTCTACAAAAAAAAAAAAAATCAGCCAGGAAAAAAAAAAAAAACCTGTAGTCAAAAAAAAAAAAAAAGCTGAGGCAAAAAAAAAAAAAAAACCCAGGAAAAAAAAAAAAAAACAAGCAAAGAAAAAAAAAAAAAACTCCAGCCTAAAAAAAAAAAAAAGACTCTGTGAAAAAAAAAAAAAAATTAAATTAAAAAAAAAAAAAAAAAAATGTAAAAAAAAAAAAAAAAGCCCAAGAAAAAAAAAAAAAAAATCAGTAAGGAAAAAAAAAAAAAAGCCATTTGGAAAAAAAAAAAAAATTTGCAGCTAAAAAAAAAAAAAAGATGGGCAAAAAAAAAAAAAAAAAAGGGACTTAAAAAAAAAAAAAAGACTGGAGAAAAAAAAAAAAAAAGTGAGGTGGAAAAAAAAAAAAAATGAGGAGGGAAAAAAAAAAAAAATAGAGGCAAAAAAAAAAAAAAAAAGCCACCCAAAAAAAAAAAAAAAGCGCTCCAGAAAAAAAAAAAAAAAAGAAAAAGAAAAAAAAAAAAAAGGGGAATTTAAAAAAAAAAAAAAAATGATATGAAAAAAAAAAAAAACTCAGTTCAAAAAAAAAAAAAAACCAACTGGGAAAAAAAAAAAAAAAAATGAAGCAAAAAAAAAAAAAAGCAGAGTCAAAAAAAAAAAAAAATCCTGATGGAAAAAAAAAAAAAACTGGATCCAAAAAAAAAAAAAAACAGACCCCAAAAAAAAAAAAAAAATTTTCTTGAAAAAAAAAAAAAATTTTTTTCTAAAAAAAAAAAAAATTTTCTTTGAAAAAAAAAAAAAAGCCTCCACCAAAAAAAAAAAAAAAATCCTCCCAAAAAAAAAAAAAAAGTAGCTGGAAAAAAAAAAAAAAACCACCATGAAAAAAAAAAAAAAAAATTTTTTAAAAAAAAAAAAAATCACTATGTAAAAAAAAAAAAAATTGAACTCCAAAAAAAAAAAAAACCTCCCACCAAAAAAAAAAAAAATTCTGGGATAAAAAAAAAAAAAAACCATGCCCAAAAAAAAAAAAAATTTCGGTGCAAAAAAAAAAAAAAAGATTTTCTAAAAAAAAAAAAAATTAGCTGTGAAAAAAAAAAAAAAAGACTGTCTAAAAAAAAAAAAAAGAGTCCCCCAAAAAAAAAAAAAAGGGTCCCCAAAAAAAAAAAAAAAGGCCTATAAAAAAAAAAAAAAAAGGAACAGTCAAAAAAAAAAAAAATGATCCCAAAAAAAAAAAAAAAAAACCATTTTAAAAAAAAAAAAAAAGCCTGGCTAAAAAAAAAAAAAACTGACCTCTAAAAAAAAAAAAAACCTTGGCCTAAAAAAAAAAAAAACAGCCGCACAAAAAAAAAAAAAAAGTCTCGACAAAAAAAAAAAAAACTGCCCTGGAAAAAAAAAAAAAATGTGTTGTTAAAAAAAAAAAAAACCGTCCCATAAAAAAAAAAAAAAGTGTCCGCGAAAAAAAAAAAAAAGCATCTGGGAAAAAAAAAAAAAATTACGGAGCAAAAAAAAAAAAAAGCGGTCCAGAAAAAAAAAAAAAAATGTGAGCTAAAAAAAAAAAAAAAGGCCAGAAAAAAAAAAAAAAAATCACAGAGGAAAAAAAAAAAAAACAAGGCCACAAAAAAAAAAAAAAGCCATTGGGAAAAAAAAAAAAAATGCACAGACAAAAAAAAAAAAAAAACACCCAGAAAAAAAAAAAAAAAAAGGGGAGAAAAAAAAAAAAAATCTGCCCTCAAAAAAAAAAAAAAGTTCTCAATAAAAAAAAAAAAAAGCCTGCACTAAAAAAAAAAAAAAGGAGGTAGGAAAAAAAAAAAAAATCCAGTTCCAAAAAAAAAAAAAACTTAGCCTGAAAAAAAAAAAAAAATGTCATCCAAAAAAAAAAAAAAGCAGAGGACAAAAAAAAAAAAAAGGCTCTAGAAAAAAAAAAAAAAAGAAGGGCCGAAAAAAAAAAAAAACCGTTCCTCAAAAAAAAAAAAAATCCCGTCCAAAAAAAAAAAAAAATGCAGGCAGAAAAAAAAAAAAAATCCATAGCTAAAAAAAAAAAAAATCACACACAAAAAAAAAAAAAAACTAGGACCCAAAAAAAAAAAAAATTCAATCTGAAAAAAAAAAAAAAGTGTGATCAAAAAAAAAAAAAAACCAGCCCACAAAAAAAAAAAAAACCAGGAGTCAAAAAAAAAAAAAACTCCTCCCTAAAAAAAAAAAAAACAGGCCCCAAAAAAAAAAAAAAAAGACCCAGGAAAAAAAAAAAAAAGCCTCTATGAAAAAAAAAAAAAATCCAGGCCTAAAAAAAAAAAAAACTCAGACCCAAAAAAAAAAAAAACCAGCCCCCAAAAA